TATCTACATGTGAGAGTATCCAACCAATATATAGGTACAGCTTCCTCCGAGAATAAAAAAAAATAATATATATTAAACACAAATACGGTACCGTCGGTACCAATATGTGTTATACGCCTGAACAATAAATTTGATTCCACTGCCAAGCATTTCAAGAGCTACTCTCAAATACTGTGAGAGAATTATAAATTTAAAAAAAAAACTTTACATTGATAAATTGAAATGATAAATAAAAGCAATCCAGTAATGTATACATAGATCAAGTTGGACACTTCCGGCGTAACAGAAAACGTTTGCACCCAGGCGACTGCATAGACGCATAAACGTCAAAATATTTTATTGTCAATGATAAAATATGATACTGAAATGTTAATTTAATTGTTGTGTTTTGTTGTTCTTTGAAGTTCAAACATGTTGTATATTACGAAACAAATTATTTTYGTGTTAACTATAATAAGTAGTGTAAGTAACGACGAATGCMGAATGGTGACTATATAATGTATTTATATTACATTTAATGTTGAAAATCAAATTAAATTTTAAATTATGTTATTCAATGAGCACATACCTACCAATGTCCCATTAAAGCATCAGTAAAATTGTTTATTTATTTTTAATGATTTTTCTGTTTGATATMTTTTTGGAGTATTGTAGCACGGTACGGTTAAATAATAATGATATAATATTGTGTTTAGTGATGTGCGTGTGCACATAATAACAAACTCAAATGTATTAAAATATTAATAAAACAAAATGTCGTCATACTGAGGATAATTAAATYGCAATAAGCATTAACCTTTCRCAGTTCATTTCCTGCGTGTAGACTGTATACAATAAATTAATATAAGCGTCTCAACAATAAACAATAAATGCTTGTAAAAAAATAAAACAAAACTCATATAGAATGGTACAAACATAATAAACAATAAACTGACATTAAATTTTAAAAAAAGTTAGTAAATTGCAAATGTTTAATGATAATTTTGTTCTTGGAAACATTCAAATATGTACACCTATTAACTTACAAATATCTACAAAATGAATGTCATTATACATAATTGGAATTTAAATTAGTATTGTAAACAATTACTCCATGCCTATATTATTATTAAATTCATTATTTTATAGAAATTTTATTACTTTTTTACGTWAATAATAGTTGTTTTATTTTTATTGGATATAGATATTTGTTAAAAATTACTTCAAACAATTTAATAAATACAACGTTTTACTCTATAAATTATTTTAAAAATCCACTATATGCGATATACACAAAAAATATATTAATTGAACAACAAACAGGTTTTAGATTTAGATAATCGCAAAAAGAAATTATATACATACTAAGTATTTTGAATACATAATACATTGTTAGTAGGGACAGTAGGGTGGCTCGTATACATACAAATGATCAGCAAAGAACTGTCCGATGTTCATACCGAGAAAATGGCAATATTCACCAAGATCTATTGAAATTATTATTATTTTTATATTTTCAACCCACTTGAATTTGATTTTTTTCCAGATACTATATTGTGTTGTTAACCCAAGTATCCGGAAATGACATTGTAAAATTTCACGAAAAATAATAATTTACAATAGTAATTGTTCAAGGGTTATTGGTGGTACATTATGGTTCTCGTATTGTTGTACGGGAAAAAATAAGGACGAGGATATAAAATCTGAGAACAAAAAATAACAACATAATGTCTCCAGAGCACATATCGATTCGTGAGTTCATTTATCCCCCGACCTACAGCGAGAACAATGTCCAGACCGTATTTCTCTCCCCTCGCCCTCGCCTCCCCTCCCCCTCCACCACCACCACCAGCCGTTTGATATTATATTATCTATTCGTAAAATCTCTTAGTGGACCTGCTTCTTCTCGGTGCCATCATGAATGTCTCTTGATTTATGGGACGACCTCCGGCCAATGCGAGTATTGTCATGAACATTATACACATACCTTTTGCACATACGAACACACACGTACACATTACAAACACGCTGGTAGTTGTCAAGTTAAAAAAAAAGTGCTCGATAAACCATATTGAACTGAATCAACGATTACTATTAGGTACCCACCCATTAACTAAATACGTAATACTTATAATTAAACTCGTGATTCGTATATTATAATATAATATTATGTATGATTATATATACATTTTACGTATAAATAGTTATAATTTCTTGATCTACGAATTTATTATAATTATACTATTTACCTATACTAAATCGTACTACAACTAAACTAGGTAATCATTTTGACTATTCTTATGCGTTTCAAAATATCGGTAATATTTATAATTTATACCAGCGGTCCTCACTAGGATTGTAGAATGGGCCAAATGTAATTTTTGAAAGTTATTTGCGGGCCGCATACATTTTTAATTATTTTTTTAATAATTAAAAAAACATAAAAATTATATATATATATTCAATATTGTTAGGAAAGGGTATTGTAGGAAAAAGTACGTGAATGACATAAATGTTTTTCTTGGATTTATAATTACAATTTTAAATTTCAATTCATAGTTTATTTTATACAAAATACAAATTATTCATATTACCTATTATATTAGTTTATTAAATTTATATATTTTTTAAATTATTAGATTAATACTGATAGTTATATAATTAAAATTAATTAATTTGATTTAATGTTGTTTTGATGTTGATGGACGGTACCTTTCTGTTTCTTTTATAATTTTATTTATGTCTACGGTTGTATTTGATGTTGACAACCGCAGCGAATCGTCCAAATGCACATCACTCAAACGATTTCTGTATTTGTTTTTTATAAATGTTACCTAACTAAAAGCAGCCTTACATAAATATGTCGATCCAAAAATTGTTAGAATACCTTTTACGTTTGATAAAAGGGAAGGATATTGATGTTCCTCAAGTGTATTCCAAAATYCCACTGTATTATTTTTACCATTAAAAATAAATTACAATTAAAATTTTGGATTTTAGAATGAACAATTTAATTTTAGTGCGGGCCGCACTAAAGTTACTAAAGGGCCGCATGTGGCCCGCGGGCCGCGTAGTGGGGACCGYTGATTTATACCATAAAATATCCAATATAACAATATACTTTGACCTTCATTTGTCAAAATGTACTTAGCTATAATAGCTATGTATATTTGGGTCGCTTTACCGAATTATATTAGTTACCAAATGTAATTTAACTTTGTAATGCTTAAGGGACTGGCAAATCAATTCGGTGCACAATTCAATTTTAATACATATTATATTCAATACAACGTACTATAGGCAAGTAATCCGTTCATACATAAATGTAACCCCGGGAGAGACTTAAACGCAGTGACAATACACGGAGAAGGTTGACGACCGGTACCTACTAAAGAATATATATTATTTTTTTTAATAGAAAAAAGTCATAAATATACAATTTAATGAATTAAATAATTCAAAAAGAAAATAGTATATCATATCATTCCTACCGATTTACTAAGTCAGTAAATAAAGTAACAGTATAAAATATAAAGTACCTACTGAAAACGATAGACGAAAATGAAATGTAGCGAATATATGTGTCTAATAAACTCTTGGCATAAAAAAAAAATATGATTAGGTATTTTACCTTTAAGGTAATTAGAATTTATCACGTTATTATCATTATTAAAATATCTTTAGTTGAGATACTATTTTTCTAAAAACTGGATTTCATAATAAATATGTAGTTATTATGATATAATTGAACACCTACACCTAGTGTTCAATCAAATTTATTAAAAATCACAATAATATGTTGTTTAAAGATAATTTCATTCTATACACATTGTTATAATATTATACACCAAAAGTGTAAATTTATATTTCAAAAACAACGTACTTCATTATAAAATTATGAATCACTGTAAATTGCGTCAAATTTTTAATTTGTTGTGTAAATTGTGGAACATGTATGTTTTGTATATATGCGTAAATATTTTTTATTCGAACGCGTAAATCACGTCCGTAGCTTTTCCTTGCAAAATCGCAAAATCAATATTTTACAACCCATCCCAAAAAAGTGTATGATTAAAAAATGTATAATTAAAGATGATATGTAAATATGAAACCGGTAAAAATCAATAAGGAAATTCCCGCAAAATATAGTCCAAGTAATTCTTTTTTTTAAGTTCATACATTATGTTATGTAGTTAATTCAATGTTTCTTGTCCAGTCATTTTTTTGAATTTTATTGGCTGACTTTTCGGTAGAAAATATACGTATCACATCGCATGATTTTTAAAACGCCAATGAAATAATTATGAAATTACGTTTGGGTGTGATGCATTGTTTAATTTTAGGATAATAATTCCGAATTTGGCCGAATTCAAATAATATGGTAAAAAACCTACGTCATTATTGTTAAATACGTTTTAAAATTTTAAATATGTATAGTAATTAGTCAGTAAATTGTATTACACTACTATATTATAACTGCATTTTTGTATTTAAGACATACCTTCGAATCCTCAAATTGTGAGGTAATTTGTATAAGTCAGTTAAATTAGTTAACTTCATTTAAAATTCACAAAATAATGAATAGAAATAAACAAAGTAGTACGTTATAATTATATAAAGATTTATTTTGAATTTTCGACCGTGAAAATAAAGTATTTTTTAAAAGAAAGAGTCACCATCAGCTAATCGCCACCCAACACAAGGTGCTCGGTCACGCTCTAATTTTGCCGGTAAAACGTGTACAAAACTACAAAAGTAAATTTCAATAACAAAAAAAAATTCAAATAACGAACGAAATAATTATTGACTAATAAAACTATACATGTACTTTTAACAATGACAGAGTTTCATCGACACAATTATTATTTTTAATTCGAATTAATTGAATAAAAATATTAATTACCTACTTATAGATCAACTTTGAAATTGAACAACTCGGTAGTTGTTCATGATTCAGCATTCATTAGTTATTGATATAATTAAAATGTTATAAAAATAGTAATATGGTTTCTGAAACTTACGATCAAATATGTAATAAATTGTCTGAAGTAGATAATACTATTATGTTTCGTCAATCGACAACTTGACCTCTTGTCCTGCGTTTTTTTATTCATATGTTTGAAGAAAAAAATGTTAAATAAAAAACTCATAAACCAGTGACACAAAAAATTACGACTATACAAAAATAAAAATAAAATTATTGAACACGATTCGGCGAAGCACGTGCAATTGGTGTACACTCGGTGGTGGTTGACACGCGGCGCGCGTGTGAGTGGGCCGGCGCGCAAGAAGATACTGAATACCCGAGTACCCGACTGCTCACGCGCTGCGTCAGTTATCCTTAGTTGTGGCTTACCACGAATTCCCCGGTGACTCCCGAGACACGAGACGTGTACTCGTTTTCATTGGACGGTCGTTTTGGTAAAAAAAAAAAAAAACGTGATATGACATATAGGTAGTCTTAAAAAAATATTTTATTTATTTCTGTACTTACATCAGACCCTTTCACAACAGAAACATTTTTATGGTTTTAATTGAACGTTTAATCTTAGTTTTGTACTTACGGGTTACGACGATACCGCTTGCTGACCGTATACAATATGTTTGGGTATTTCTCGCATTTCCGTTATTAATAATATTTAAGATTATATTTTTCCCGGTTTTGGGTTTAATATTATACAATAATAATTGAATAATATAAAACCCAAAACCTAGAATTATTCCATTCGTTTAGATATTTTAAATCATAAAGTCTATRTTCATGTTTCGTGTTTATGTTTAACACATAAATAACACATTTTTTTTCTTATATTTTTATTTTTTATTTTTATACACGATCTAAGTATAATACATTATTTTCTGGAATAATAAGTATAATTTTGTATTAATATTTTTAACTGCAAAATACTATTTTACTAATAAACAAATTAAATTACAGATACCTATTTCTATAATCATTTTAACTAATTTAGTTTATTTATTGATAATATAAACAATTTTGTCCATCAAAAATCACCAATCAATTTCAATATTTTTTCTCCGAACGCAGCGCTTATGCCGGTATACAACTTCCTAGGTACTACTTACCTTTTTTCAAAAACATAATGCACATCGTGATTTGACATCTTTMCTACCCATATTTTCATTATAATAAAGAAAAATCAGATAATATAAACTACCCTAAGAAATTTAATCCATTCTTAAATCAACATTCTTTATAATGTGTATTTACCCAAACGTGTCTTAGAATTGAATCGAAATAATGTCCTGAACAAAATAAAGCCCATATAACTATTGACAATAAAATATTATTTGAAAAGGACACAATATGATGAATAACATTATTATATCTAATCGAACTTAATCTAAGCAAAACTTATATCGTAAACAATATGTTAATACAATAATGTAAACTAATGGCCTGTAGTAGCCAATGTTATTAGGATCAATAAAAAAAAAAACAATAGTTTTAAATTCAAATTTATAAATTATATTCCGATATGAAACATTTTATTATAACACACACAACATAACATAATACTGATATATATGATCTATCGTAAAATATTAGCATTGGTTGCCTTGTCGTATGCCAGACTCCKAGTCGAAATCAAAACTTCAAAATGTTTGATAAATAGCAACCGAACATTAGCATTATAGTATACAAATTTTAGATTTTTTAAGAAATCTAATAGTTTCAATAAAAAAAAATAAATATTGATTTTTTTTAAATTTGTATTAGCTTCAACCAAAAGTTATTATAGCTCAACAATTAGTTGAACAACAAGATAAGGATGTGGCATTAATATGAATCAATCTTATAATTTATAATTACAATATTAATAATAAGAAAATCATAAACTCAACTCCTTAATATAAAAATTAGATATGTTAATAATATGATATGTATGTACTGAAGGTATGATTTGTGTGTGTGTTGTGGAATAGCAGTGGTGGGGAGTGGGATTTTATTTAACAAGGATAACTGTACAATTAGAAGAGAGTTAAGAATTGATTTTCATTGTCGAGGGATTTAGGGATGATGGAAAGGGGTTGCTCGGGTCTCGGGTGTAGGCGTGTGAAATGTAATTTCGGCGTATGAAGATTTTTCTATTAGATTTGAACTGTTGAATAAAAATGATTGATTTTGATTGTTTTWCTATCTTTAGGTTTTGKGTGGCTTAATATAATTAAAAATAATTATAATTTGTTTAGTCTTATAGGACATAGTTAATATTTTTAGTTTTAAAAATTAAACATCATAAAACCTTGAATGCAATAATGCGTTTAATGCATTTGCCTTACAATATATTGTCTATAGTTCTATAGTAATGGAAGTATGACTTGTAAGTTGTAGCTAATCATCTATGCATGAATGTCTATATGTTAATCTATAGAAAACGCCGTATTAGTAAAGATTTCATAAATTTGTAATATCTCCATCAGTATTGTGATTAGTTGGCTACATCCGAATTGCCAAAAAAAAAGCGATGTGGTTGACAACCGATCGAAATACCGTATTTTTCGAAACAGGTTCGAATTTCGTGCGTGTATTTTCGGTGATAGATTGGAATTGCACGCGTACAAGTTTTAATAGCCGATCATTTGAGTTTATACTGTAGTAAATATAATATAGTAATATTTAGTTAAGTAGAGTAAATTCGATAATATTATGGATTTTCTCCGAGGAATGAGATTAGATTAGTGAATAGCGATTAGAAATGATCATAATTTGATAAGTATGTAACAATATAAATACGATTTGTAATTTTCGACAATCAGTTAATACAATTAAGTTGGCAATTAGACCAATTTAACGACAAAAAAAAAGATGGAAATTATTATTATATGTTTAGCGAAAAAAAAAAACTATATTTAATTGATGGCTATAAATTTAATTTTAATAAATATTTAAAGTCATGTAAGATTTTACACTGAGAATTACACGAAGGAGATATAAGTAGTCTAACTAATACAGACACAATGCGTATAAGAAAAAATATTCACTATACACGTTCAAGTATGATCACAAAGTTGCCTACAAATTTAAATGAACTAAATTTGGCTTTAACAAATTTAGGTATAATCAAAACATATCGAGATGAATTATTTTTGTTAATTAATAATTCAGAAAAAATACAATAGCATTTTCAACACAAACTAATTTGAAATATTTAACTGAATGTGCCGTTTTATATATTGATGGTACCTAGGTATGTTTAAAAGTTGTACTAAACCATTTTATCAATTATTTATTATTCATGGAGCAAAAATTCAAATTATACTCCGCTAGTAATTTTTTATTAACAAGTAAGACTACAAAAATATATAAAAATTTTCTGATTTGTTTGAAAAAATTGGTGAATTARATTTGACTTTTACACCACGTATAATTTACACTGATTTCGAACAAGCTAACCTGCACAACCTAAATTAAACTTTAAACTTATTCTTTCTAAATGATTCTAAGTTCTTTACTTTAAAAAACTTGGCTTATAAACCAAACAAATATTTTATTTTTCATATTTTGCACAAWATAATGTTATTACAACATTATAATATCATGTAATTAAGGTAAGGAAATGAGCTATAATACCTATTGTTATGCCACAAAAAAACTAATAAAAAAAAAAGTAAGTAAATATTTCAATTCAAAATATTATGACGATAAAAAAGATAATTACTGTAACGTTAATATATAGGCATCTACTAATTTCTATAAATGTTACAAGAACAATAAATAAAAATGTATCTTATATACATTAATTTCATTATGAATAAATATTTTACGTTTTCCTCAGCAAACTTTCAATTATTTACTGTGTTGAGGAAAAAATAAACTACCAGTTAGTAGCAAACATGTTAAGTAATTACCTCACTTTAAAATAATTATCTCATAGATAATTAGTAATTATTAGAAAATCATAACTTAATTAAAACCATATCGACTATTYTATAATATTTATATAAAACAAAATGCCAAACACTGACTCTTAAATCACTTCACACGTAACTACTTTAAAACAAATAATGATTGCTCTGAAATTGAATTTGATAAGACATCAACTCAAAATAAAATATATTTTCATAATTTTATTATGAACTACTAGGAAAAAATTATCTATATTTGTTAATTYAATTAAAATTCAATTTGAAAAATATTATGATAAATTAAATTAATATATTGCATGAATAAAAAATTATACAAACTTTTTTGTTTCCTTTAAAATTACTTCATTCTAAAATTACAACGGAAAATGAAAAAAATTATTAAAACATTAATATTTTATTACTTTATTTTATAATACTTAATTAAGTACCTATTGTAAATATTTATATTTTAAAGTTTATAATATGATACATTAAAAATGATTTATACTCTATGTTATGATTTTATTAATTACCAGTTCACGCAATATATATATATATATATATGTGTGTGTGTGTATTTAAAAAAAGAAAAATTAACATATTTTATTGTCTTAATAAATAATTATATTGCGTTCCACGTTCTCGATCGTTTCGAAATTCTAGTAGAGAAATATACGAGTATAATATAATATATAATTGGTCCCTCATTAATTTCATTTAATAACTAGGTATTCGAATTTTTTTCACACGTTCTCACGTAAGAAATTTCACTTATGTTCATTAAATTATAACAAATATAATGTTTCCCTAGATTAGGTGATTATAATATAGTACATATTATATTATAGACCGTCATCAATAAAGACTAAACGATTTATGGGATAGGTTTTAAACCCACATTTACAGTTAGCCCATTGTATGCATTTTATACACGTAAACGCTCATATAGGTAAGACTACCGATAATCGTGCAGCTAACGGTAGGTATAAAGGTAGGTGGATAATATTTATTTATATCTAGGGCAGGGTAATATGTCTCACCCCGATTAAATAGGAAGTTATTCCTATTTTGTATATACTTTACCGAAAATTCATTCCTATAATCACCTCGGTCATATACATAATATTTATTAAACAGTTTAAAGAAAACACAATAAGTGTAATAATTTTGGGAGGTTTAAAAGCGTTAACGGGAAAACAAAAATGTGGCCGTATACGACACAACGTATCTGGGTTACATACCTAATTATTTAACCTTAACATATTTTTCGAGGATTAAAAACATCGTTGTGTAACGAATGCTCAAATAAATACGAGCATTCGTTTATAATTGTAGTATATTGCCGGTATGTACATTCTATTCAACGTGATACCAAACCGTAGAATTATTCAAAAAGTTTTTGAATTTTTTATCCACGTTAATAATTTACA